CAGCACTGGCAAGCTAGCTACTGTTACCAGGCTTCAGCCTCCATCTAGGCCTCCCGCCAAAACAGAATTTTTCCTTCTGCCTTAGGCAACAAATCTTACACACACACAGCTTCCCCTTGTCCCAGGTTCAGCTGCCTTTGAGTTCCCTCAGCCTAACTGCCCTTAGCTCTGCTGTGTCCTCTCAGAGTTTTCCGCAAACTCAGGAAAAGCCAGCCAATCTGCCACAGCTTTTGCTTTGGGCAACTCTCCACAGAAATGGTCACCACAGAGCCTCCCTGTCTTAGTTCCCAATATGAGGTCCCGTGCCCTTCTACTCGACTCGCTTCCCATGAGACAAGTCCTAGAAGGTTACCCACGCATTTACTCAGACGTCCCTGACTAAAGACCCCTGCTCTGGGAACCTTTCCAGTCAAGGCTTCACTGGATCTTCGAATCCCTCTGCTGGACACCAATTTTATTGTGACGTAGCAGGCCACTCTGATGTCACTGCCAACTCAGGCCTCTCAGAATGCCCACCACACTACTTCACACTCGCTGCCACCAATTGTAATGACTATTTAAGAAGGACAAAGGTTTCCTTCAAAACAAAACAGGTTTATTGAAATAACAAAATAAAATATGTAAATCACAATTAGCTAATCAAGATGTCAATCACTGTATCTTATTTAATCAATCACAGACTTCCCTAACTGACCACTTAGGCACGCAGGCCTCTAAACAAGCTCTTTCTCTCTCACACTCAAGATCTGATCTCTCCCACCCTTCACACCTTTTCCTTCCAGCTCCTCCCTCTTCAGCCCCACCCTCCATCACCCCATTGGCTGATGATTCACTGCCCAGCTGTGATGGACAGGTGAGGTCAGGGCTGCCTGTTACAGTCCCCAACCCCCGGTCTGTGGCCTGGTGCTGGTCCGTGGCAATGGTAGGACCAGGCCACAGAGACAGATCTCCCAACCCCCTGCATGCAATCCCCACACGCATGGCCCACCCACACGCACGGGGGCCCTGCCCACTCATGAATGCGCCCTGCCCATCTGCGTATATGTGCGAGTGTGTCCTGCCCATCCATGAGCACGCCGCTGCTCATGTGCGTGAGCAAGCCACGGCCACCCACGAGGATAGAGGTGCCCTGCCCCCCCCCAACAGGTCTGTGGTCTGGAAAAGGTTTGGGGACCACTGCTCTATCTTGTCCCCACTTAATGCTCCTTTGAGGGTTGCAGCACCACCTTTTGAGTTCTCTCCTCCAGGAAGGATCTGAGCCTCTGTAAAATAGTGTCTCCAAGTCCCTTCCCAGAGAGAAGCGCTGGAAGGATATCATAGCAACCCTATTTAGTCGATCGTGCTGTTCAGAGAAAATTAAAAAATAAAATAAAGACTTCCTTCTAGAAGCAGGAGGAAGCCAGATGTTTGGTGTCCGCCCTCCCTTTTCACTGGCAACTTGGTTTGGCCTGGGACAGGAAAGCTGAAAAGGAAAAAAAAATCCCTCTCCTGTCTCCCTCCTGCATCCAGGAGTAAGCCTTCCATTGAGAAAGAAAATTCTCTAAAAGGTACACTGCCCTAATTTGTGCTGAAAAACTTGCTTCCCCCACAAGCAGAGAGAGGAAGTTTTTAATTTCCCAGTTATGTCATATCATTATGTGGTGAACCTGTCGGTTTATGGGGAAGTAAAAGCCCATGACAGGGGCCAGAAAGGTGCAGACAGGAATGCCCTGGGAGTGGGTGGTTCACTCCAGCAAAGATGCTGTCGGATCGTTGGCTTTAGGAGGGAACCAGCCCATTCCTGCAGTGAACCAAACAGCAGGTTAAATGCCTGGGTGGCACTCATCCCAACAGCCTACTACAGAAGTTATCTGAAGGCAGGTTCCCGTGGCCACCCTCACTTCCACCCCTCTGCAGCACTTGCTTAGATCCCATCAGTTTTTAATATGGCTGTGCCCATTTGATCCTTCATGCCTTTCTCTGCTATTGGCCTCCAAGGGAAACCTCTATTTCCGGTGCTGTTTGCTTGGGGTATTTTCCAGTGGGGTGTTTCCCCCCCCCCCCCCAATGGGTCAGAAATCAACTGTGATGCTATTTTCCCTTTTTTCCTTGCTTAACAGATTTTGGCAGGGGAAAGATGGGAAAGAAGAGACAAGTGGTGGTGAGGAAGTGGGTGGGTGGTTGTGTCACAAATGGAAGCTAGTAATGTCTGGAGCTGGAGTTAAAAAAGCGACCACAATGGGATGATCACGCAATAGATTTGCCTGAAAGCACCCCTTCAGATACAGTTGAGAAGCTACAATAACTGCTTGAGAATTTTGGATCAGGGGAAGGTGCCTTACCTTGAGATGGACCCTTAGTCCATCTGGCTCAGGATTGTGAACTTGGCTCCCAAGAGTTTCGTGCAGGACCTGACCTGTCCTAGCCCTGCCTGCACATGAAGGGTATGCCCTGCTGGTCTCTCCTCAATGTTCTAACCAGGCTTGACCCTGCTTGCTTCCTGAAATCAAACAGGATTGGGTGTGTTCAGGGTGGTATGAGCGGGGGAGCTTAAGAGGTGGTCAAATTTCAGGGAGGTGAGGGTCTCACGCCCCTTCATTCTCCTCTCCCGCCAGTGATTTCCCTTCCCCTTGCACTGCCCCCTTAACCTATTAGATGTATTAATGCCATCTTGAACCCAAGACTGCACAACATCTCCTGGACCAGAGGTGGCCAGCCTGTAGTTCTAAGACTCCATGGGTTGCTGTGTAAGTTTTCAGTTCAAGGCCTCAGCGAGAGTGACCTGTCCCGTACCTGTCAGCTTGCACAGCAAGGAGGAAGAAGGGAGAGATGGAGCAGGGCTTCCTAGAAAGAAAGAAAAACCTTTAGCCCCACCTATCATTACTAGTGGCCCTCCAGCAAATTACATGTGAAGGGGTGTGATCCTTAAATAAGGGTTGCCACTTCTGTCCTAGACATTCATGCATCCTTTTTCTTAGCTTGGAAAAGTTACTTTTTTTGGACTACAAGCCCAAACGTTCCTCAGCTAGCTGACCTGGTGACTTCTGTGTTCTGACTTTTTTTTTCCTTGCATGTATTATTTTTATTTTATTTATTACATTTTTATACCGCCCATCTGGCCAAAGGCCGTTCCGGGTGATTTCCTATATAAAAAGACAACCATCAAACATTAGAAGACATAATTGTCTGCATAGCTAAAGTATCAAAATAATCATAAAAGTGCAATGCATTTTAAAATATGCATTTTAATATATTTAAAATATACAAAAAAATAATTTTGTATGTAAATTAATTGTCTTGCTTATGGTACAGTTTGGTGGAGGAAAGGGGGTATATATTGTGTGTTGTAGGGACAGTTGTTGAGTTCACAAACACCTTTCAAAACAGGATTTCGGAAAAGCCATATTCCCCGTTCCCCTACCAATGCTTATACTGGATTGCAGAAATGTCCAAGGGTATATCTTGCAGCAAAAATAAGAATATTGTGACATATTATACCAAACATATTTTGTTTGATATATGTTTCATGGGATCTGAGAAGTGGGATACAGTCTACAAATAATAACAATTCTCTGCTGCCAAGTCCGTTTTGACTTAAAGCCTATGACTCTTTCCAAAGTCGTTTAGGTACATTCCTCCCTTTAACCCTAACTCTTCTCTCTGTTACCTTAACTGCAGGCCAGCTGTATGGAGATGTTCTTTATTTCTACACTGAATACCGCGATGGTTTCAGTCATAGCGAGATGTGGCACCCGGTCTACTTCTGGTTTTATTTTGTCTTCATGAATTTCCTGTGGATCATTATTCCATCAGTCCTTATCTTGGATGCCTGGAAACATTTAAGCACCTGCCAAAGGATTGTGGATACCACCAAGCTGAAGAAGCGCTAACAATCGATGCAGGGGCATGGCATAGGCAGATCTTTCCTAAGTGCCCCACAGGGGATAGGTTTGCTAGTGCCTTCTCTTGGCTCCCCCCTGCTCCTGCAGGTGCTCTCAAAAATTCCCTCCCTTGTCTAGCTTTAAATGGAAAAAAAAACAGCAGGGAAATGGCATAATCTGTGGCAGCTGTTTTGCATTGCTCACTTAAGAGCTCATCATTCTAGTGAAACGATGGGTGACTGTGAACTTCCAGATGTTGTTGGACTGTATATAGCAGCTCCTCCTTCTCCAGGGAAAATGGGAATTGCTGTCCAACAACGTATGGAGCACTATACTGTAGATGCACACCCTGATCTAAATGTTGCAATCCTATCCAAACTTTATTGGGAGTAGGTCCTTTGATCCACATGTGATAGGAAGCCTTCACAGATGTAATCCTGGATGAAGAAGCGCAGTGCTAAGGAGATCACATATGGAGTTCTGTATCTTTTCTGAACCTAGGGCTCTGATTTTCAGTTAGAAGAAGGAGGGATCTGTCTGGCATTCAGAGCATACCTCTCTCTTAGCTGTGTTGTAGTATGGGAAAGTCCCTGATGTTGGGAAAGTATGAAAGCAAGAGGAGAAGGGGACATCAGAGGACAAGATGGTTGGACAGTGTCATCGAAGCGAGCAACATGAGTTTGACCCAACTCTGGGAGGCAGTGGAAGACAGGAGGGCCTGGCGTGCTCTGGTCCATGGGGTCACGAAGAGTCGGACACAACTTGACTAAACAACAACAAAAGAATGGAGGTTCCCCAGGGGACATTCTGTCTTTCTCTTAGATTAATGGGATAAAGCTAGATGATGACCACCAATGTAATTCTCTTTATGCATTGCTCCTATCAACTGTTTACATTACAGCTTTTCTTTTACTCTAAGCAATGGTCAGTTACTGACAGAGGTGGCTCCTTACTGTGGACAATGGGGCAGAAGGCATAGCAGCTAGTGGTAGGAGGAGATGATGATGGCTTGCTTTTACCTGCTGCTGCTTTTCCTTCTCTCTCTCATGAGTCTGGGAGTTCAACAAAAGAGCAGCAGCAAATCCTTGCCTTTCCACCTCTAATGAGGCAAGCAGGAGTGGGCTGGCGTAGGCATCGCCTTAGGTGAAACAGTGCCTCACTTGTCTCCTATCCTGTCTGATACCACAGCAGAGGAGATGCTTCTCAACAGAAATGAACTGAGAAGAATCAGAAAAAAGACAAAGCAAATCTAAATGGCTGGCTTCCATTCCCGAAGAATCAGAAAAAAGACAAAGCAAATCTGAATGGCCCTGTTGGTGGAGGGTGGATAATAGTGACGTAGACATTAATAACACAGAAATGTTTTGGCCTCATTATGTTTTATGGACTTCTTTCTCATACTTACACAACTGTTTCCTCCCCAACCTCTTTTGGGATGCTTAGACATCAGCTGGACCTGCAGCCCCCCAAAACGAATGGTAGCGCCACTTGGTTTTAAATATTTTCAAACAAATTACTTGAATCTCTTCCATGTGCTCCTGACTCTGTAAATTGAGCTGTGTTTTTTAAAAAAAATAAATCACACTCTGCTGCTTATATATCTGTTGGAACTTTGGTGTGTATTACGTATCTTGAAGAAGAATAGCCAAGAAGGCAAAGAATAACTTCGGCTTCATGGAAGTTTTTGAAGAAATAGCCATGTTAATCTGTGGAAACATATCAGATAAACAAACCTTCAGGCTATGAATACTTTTGATTATCAGTCCACAAGGTGCATCCTGCACTGATTTCCCAGCTGGCCACTTGTGCCAACTATGTTATTGTTGCCTTGTAGATTGATAATTAAAATTACTCATAGCCTGATAGTCCTAGTCATTCACTAACAAACTAGTGTCACTTTGTCCATTACCTGTATTCTCACCTGGTCATGGGACCATGTACACATATGACAGTCATATTGTTTTATTCTGATGTCTGAGGAACTAGACTTGACCCACAAAAGCTCACATTAAAATACAGCATCTAGTCTTTAAGGTTCTATAATGTTTTTGTCTCGTGTGTGAGTTTAAATTTAACTTTTAAAATCTCTTTTAGTTCTTTTCTGGTCCTATATGTTCAGTGGAAATACTGTACTCAAAATTCTACTGAAATTTCCTTAAGGATTAGGGAAGGCATTCCTTTTAAAAATATAGCTAGGCTTGTGTTCCAGTATTTAAATTCACATGCCATTAAGTTGTCTGATGCCCAGCTATACTTCTGATGTCTTAAATACTGGATAATTCCATTATTGTTAACCAGCTACTGAGAAAGCTGCTGTACATAACATTTGTAAATTATATCAGACAAAAAACTTAGTTATTTTTAGGTGTTTAAATTCATATGCACATAAAAATACCCTTTCCTCATTATTTAATTTCATCAATAAACCCATAATAAATGTTTCAGATTACTTAGGTTTACATAATTTAATATAGGAAATGGGTGGTGGGTTGGACTAAGGCTGGCCAGTATAGAAATCTGTAGTACAGAGTTTGTTTCTTCATTCTAAATAGCTATTTGTTGATTTCCCCCCCTCAATTTACCCTAGGGAGCATAAGAGAAGTCATGGTGTCTGCCTTTGTTACGCTCGGAGCAACTTAGTGAGATGGTTTAGGCACAGAACCTACCATCCAAACAAAGTTGGACCATAATTTTGTCCCATAACCTTCAGACATTTTTTAAAAAGCATCTTCAAACAAGGAAATAGTGACAATACTATTTGAGGATGCCTTAAAAAAATTATGTGTCCATAGGTACAAACTTCCTCTAATCCCATTCCCTAATGCTTTATATAGACCATTAACACTGCTGAATAGGATTTATGTTACAGCTATTCTATTTTGAGTTATTCTATAATAAACACAATTCACTGTGGAATTAGGAAATTTATTATGCTGAATTTTCCATAGAAGAGACCATTATGGCCAGTTTACCAAGCTATCCTGCTTGAGAAACTCAGGGCACAGCACGCTAGGTTGGCTGAAATCCTGTTCTTTAAGAAGGCTTGTAACTTTCAGTCTGTCCCTAGCCAGCAATTAAAAAGTCAGGGGTAAGTGTACATGCACCAACCCAGTGTGCATATGCTTCCAAAAATTGTGGCAAGGACTCTCTTTATTTGCCATCTAGGAAAGTTACAAATTTTCTTACACTAACCCACAGGATTTCAGCCATTTAAATATATAATTAAAGTCAAATGAAACAGCCAAGACTTTAAAAATCAATAAAACTACAAGATGTTAAAATGTTAACAGTACTTTAAGCCATATTAAAAATATCTCTTCCCTCCATTCTCGGAGTGGAAAGTATTTACATCTCTGAGTGGAGTGAAATAAGAGTCTGAGAGCCATGCAGGAGAAAGCCCTTTCTCACTCGCATATCAAGTGAGCTTATGCAACATTTGCCCTTCGCAAAAGGGCTTCTTGTGAAGATCTTAACATTTGAACAGGTTCATAATGAGGCAGAGAGTCCTTAGAAAGCCAGACTCCAAGCCATTTAGTCGTTTGAATGTTAAAACCGGCAGTGAACAGGGCAGCAGATTGCAGAGCCAGGGGTGGAGATTTAGATACCCGACTGTGCCTCCTGGAGGACAGCTAGCCCGTGTAGCCTGACTGCCTCCAAAAGAAGGGAATCATAATTCACTTCTGCGGTCTGTACCTAGGAAATCCGTAAGTCAATTAACTTGATAACATGTTATAATAACAATTGGCAAGCACTGCAGGTATTTCAGTACCCAGGTCAAATGGGCCAACTGGCAGCCCACCTGCTATATACTGAATCCATTAAAAATCAGTTTCTCTTCAAGGGTAGCCCCAAGTAGGCACAGGACTCCTTAGTAATCTCCATTTTGCCTGTGAAAAAGGAAGCCATAAGTTACGGTACTGATTGTTGTTGTTTGAAAGGCACCCCGTAGAGTGCGTAACTGGCAGAGACACTACCGGTGCCATAGTCTTTTGCAGCTCAGTGTATCCCAGCCATTTTGTTCTTCATATGATTTAACAGTGGTTTGGGGAAGATGCCATGTAAGAAACCATGTGTATCAATGTATCAGATCCATGTTTTGCCATGGGAACAGATGGGATCTCTGATCTGACAGTTGTTTGGGGAGAATCTTATAAATCGTATGAAATCATGAGAATCCATTTTTTATTTCATGGATCTGACTCTTACTTTCTTCCCAGGAAGTGGCTGTGTGTCATGTATCATAAAAGTGTGACTATAATAAGGTTTTCAAGGTGAGATAATCCAGTGGTTTTATCAGTTCTACCCCGACACCAGTGAGTATCTATGGCCAAGCAGGAATTCAAACCCAGATCTCCTAATGCTTTGATCTGTTGCTCTATATGCACTACATCACATTGGTTATTCACAAAAATGGAGTCTTTCCTCATGCATGAAAATCTTTTACTGTACTCCTTTTTTGGAGGAACAACATACTTTTTATCGACGTCTACTTTGCGTCCTATTCACAAAGGGCTTCGGATCTGAGGCAGATCCACACCCTCCTAATCCCGAGCGCAGTGAAAGCAGTCACCTCCCAGTCTCAGAGGCTGCAAGCCTGGTGGGGGAGACGGACGCAGCGCCATAATGTCTCGGATTGTCATCCTGAGCAAATTTTTTTGCCTCACGGACGCCTGACGTCACAAACGTAAAAGTCCGCTACTCCAAACATGCCTTCGCAAAACGTGCCAGTGTGACGTCACTGAAACTCATTTTCCCTCCTACTGTTCGGATCAAGAGGTTCACTTTCCAGAGAAGAAAGACAAAAACAAAATAAGGGGGGAAACCCCTCGGATTAGAGTTCCCGTGTGACAGACACACTTCCGCCGGATGCTTTTGTTTCGGACCAATCATAGGACGAGTATGTTTATAACTCGGGCAGGACTGTCAATCCCAGAAAGCACTGCGCTTCCGCTTAAGCCGGTCGTTGCTGTTTTAAAACCCTTTTGTGACCTGTGGGCTCTTTCGTCATCGCTCCGGCCGTCCTTCCCGCGCCCTCCATTTCCGCTGATTTAAATAGCAGTTTCAGACCTACGCGATGACGTCATGCCGGAGGCGGCTGAGCGAAGAAGGCGGAAGTCGTGGAGGAGGAGTCACGTGACGGAAGCAGCCCCCCCCTTTCCCCCACTTCTGTTCCCTCCCTCGCAGGCGCGAGCGCCGGTGAATTGAAGGGGCGGGTGACGTGGGGAGGGGCGGGGCCTGTAACGGCCTTGGCGTGAGGCGCCT